AAAAACACCCAAACAAGCAAATGAACCCAAAAAATCCACAAACAACTTTGTGTAACCATCAATAAATATGCATTTGTATGGCTGTTCAGGTAAGCTCATCAGAGGCTGGATCTTCCTGCTGAACACAGGCCTTAAAATTTCATCTTGGAGCGACCTCTTTCTCCGCCCCCCCCCAAAACACAGAGCACCCCGACACAGGAGCCCATGTTTACACGTACTGGAACACTACCTGTTTGTTCAGCAACCTTCTTCGTGGTTTCTTCTTTAGGTTCTTTCTGGACCTGGCTGGCCAGCTTCCAGCGGTTGCTGATCTATAATGAAAACAGACAATGATTAAAACAACCTGCCTAAACGCAGCTACGGAGGAGTGCCTACTTGTTCAGAGGCAAATGAGGCGTGCCAACCTTAGAATGACACACATCCTAAGCCATGCACCCCGAAGCTGAACACACCATCTTTTGCAGGCTTTATGTGGTGCTGGGGGATCACACCAGGGCTCCACATAAGCCAGGCAAGCACCCTACTAGCTGAGCTTTGTCCCCAGCCCCAACCCTTTGTTGTAGAGATCCCCAAAGGTTTCTGAGGACTGGGCTATAGTTAAGTCTCTTCCTAGAATATGCTTAGATGGAAAGGGCCTCTCCTCTGTTCTCAGAGGCCTATAGAAGATCTGAAGCCTGTAAGAGCCTGGAGCCCCACTCAGGTCAGGAGCCCCTTGAAATCAACTGCTCCAAAGCTTGAGAAACTACTTACTTCATAGATTTTTGAAGAAGGATCAAACTTTGCTGCTTGAGAAATGTGGGCCCTGTGTTCCAGAGAAGGCAGGAACTGCGGAAGGGGAAACAGTCACTGCAAATGCCAAGAGCAGGCACCTCGCCCATCAGAGGCACTACTACTGCCAGTAACTCCAGAGTCTCGACCAGGACACCATGGACGATCCCTCCACAGCCCTCTTTCCTCCCAGGGGAAAGGATGTGTGGCTGCAGAATTCCCTGCAGCTCCTGCTGGCTTGTGCAGCTGCACGACTCACCATCCTAAACGGGTTTTCAAAGGACTCCATTATGTTCTGGGCTTTTTTCTGTGCCACTGTCAATGGAGTCTTTCCATTTTCCTCAGCACTAGGTTCCTGCAAGGACAAACCAAAACCCATCACTTCTAACCATGATTATGTTGTGCCATCAGGACACCTTCTTGGGACCACAACAGGGAAGATTAAGTTCCTGAACTGATAAATTCTTTTTTTTTTTTTTTAAATATTTACTTATTATGTATACAATATTTTATCTGTGTGTATCTCTGTAGGCCAGAAGAGGGCACCAGACCTCATTACAGATGGTTGT